ACTATCGGTAAGTTGCCAACCCATGTCCATCTATCTGTTGTTTTGAACAGCCCAGTGGCTAATACCCTTGCAGTGCCAGTTGGCTTGCAACAGAACTGATCTCTCTGTTGTTATTATTTGTTATTTACTATTAGCTCTTTAATACGGCATTATCTGCTTATCGCATTTATCTTTCTGTTAACTGTTGTGTGAGTGTAAGCTATAATAAATTTGCCTTCACTTCACTCCCAACTTTGTCTCCTCAATCCAAAACTGAATCAAACAGCCCGCTCGGCCTGTGATAAAATTAATACACTCAGTGCCCAGCTGGCCTGTGACACCTGAGTCAGATAGTTTGAGATAACTGGTGCAGGACACTGGCAGGCTTGGTGCATGGGCAAGGACCTCAGAAGGGGAAAGTATGCAGCGCCCAGAGCAGTGCTGCACTGGAGGAATGTGCCAGGAACGCTGCTCCGGGGAAGAGGGCATGTCCCCCAGCCCAGCCCAGCCCAGGACCCCCAGCCTGCATCAGCCCCCGCACTGCTGGGGGAGAAGAGCCTCTTTGTCCATGCCGCAGAGCTACAAAAGGACCTTTCTGCAGCTGCCAACGGCGTGTGAAGGCAGCGCCCAGAGGCAGGCGGCAATGAGGCAGGCGCACCCACCCAGAGCGCCCCAGGGTGGGGGGCACACACACCCCACAGTCAGCCCTGACCTGAGGTGGAGCAGCAACTAGCTGGTCCTGCGCCCTGCCAGCTGGGGCGAGGGATGGAGGAGAGCCCTGCACCAGCAGCCATCCTGGGGAGGCGAGGGGGGCAGGCAGCAGGATTTCAGCCCAAGAGCCCCCTGCGACCTGCTATACGACCTCAAGCAGGGCACAGCCTCCATGTGTGCCTCAGTTTCCCCCCTCCTGTGAAACAGCCACCCAAGCACATGGATGCCCCTACATGCCAAAGAAGTGCCAGTTACTACACTGACAGGAGCTCTCCATCCAGGGGGACCCAAACAGGCAGCTGGCAGGGTGGGGGATGATCACAGGTGACAGAGAGGGGCACAGGACACCTGGTTTCTCTGCCACCAACCTGCTGCCACCCTAGGCCAGTTGCTTCCCAATTCAGGGCTCTGCTCAGCCCATCCTAGGCAGGGCCCTGCACACCAGCCCTAGACCCCCCACCAGGCACTGCTTCTATCCAGGATGGTCTCCTCCAAAAACCTGGGCACCCCCAGGGCAGTGGGACTCAGCGCCAGGAGGAAGCTGCGTGGCCTTGTCTCGGCTGAGTTGGGCAGCTTTGGAGACCCTTTGCACAGCACGGAGACCTGGGCAAAACTGCAGAGGGGAGAGGAAGAGGGAGACGGGGAAGGGGGGCGGTTTCTAGAGACGCCAATGGTACCTGGGGAGTGAGGGATCTGGCTGCGCTCCCCGAACCCAGCAGCGCTGGCTGCTGCAGCAGGAAGGACCATGAGGCCCCAGCGAAGCAGAGCCCAGAAACATTGCGCTGCAGCGGTGAGTCACCAGCTCTCTGCTCTGCAGGGACCTTTTTAATCACCCCGGCCGGCCTCCCACGTGGCAGGGCCCGGCCCCCCCGCAGCTGGCACAGCGCTGGAGAGGCCCTGTGGAAGGGGCGGCAGAGCCTGCTCCGCACGCTGCCAGCTCCCCCGGAAAGCCAGGCTCACTGGGTCCCACCGGTCCATCTGTTTCCTTCCTCAGACCTGGAGGGCACTGGATGCCCGTGTCCCACCATGCTCCCAGCCAGCTCGATAACAGATATCCCCCAAACCCCAGCTTCCTGGATGCTTCTGGACCATCACGGCTATGACATCCCTCCAGTTGTCTCTGGCCAGTTTTGCTGGAGGGGTCTCAGGCACCCCCTAAAAGCTGGTGCATGTGGGTGCCCAGCTCTTGGAACAGAGCTTCAGGGAAAAGGGAGGGTGTTTGCGGGGGAGGGGAAGTCACTAAAATGACGCGATTTCCCCTCCCATTTGTCCCGAGGTTTTCTGGACCAAGGGATGCATAGACAAAGCTTCTATTTTAACCTGACCCTTTCCACCTCTCCGCTCTTATCACACAGCGAGCGTCAGCTTAAGCCGTGACTGTCTACACCCAAATGCACCAGGGCCCAGTCACCGCGGTATAGCTATGGAGCAGGCAGATGAGCTACAGTGCGGCCCCAGCCTTCAATATGGGGCAACCGTTCACCTGACTGCGCGATGAGCACCTTGGCACTGCCGTGGCAGCTGCCTGCCCATTCGCAATGCCATGGCAGGTCCATTTTGGACTCATGGGGCATGCTCCAGGCAGCGATGGGCAATGCCTGACAGATGTAGAGGGAAAGCAGGGAACCCAGGAAGCCCCTGGCTCTGGCACCCCTGCCACCGTCTGCTATGTCAGCAGAACAACGCCCTGGCACACCTACCTGCTTCTCCTAGCAGTCTGCACATCCCAGTCAGCACAAGGGAGAGTGCAGGGGAGTGCCTGGCACAGAAGGGGATGGGTGGGTGCAATGGGTCATGGCACCAACACTGCACCCACTGCCCTGTTCAAGCCAGAGCTTCTGAGCAAGGCAGCTCAGCTCTGCACCAGGGGCCCAGTTCCCTTTCGCAGTGAGCAGCTGTGTCACAGCAGAGTTGTAGCAGGAAGCAACTCAGGAAGCCAACTTGATGCATGTCAGCAGCACAGGCAGCCAACTCCTTGCATCTGCATCTTTGCACACGTGGCCCAGACCCTTGGTGGAGGGCGCCCATGCCAATCTATGCTGTAGGGCCCTGGGCACCGCATGCCAGGCCAGGCCAGGCCAGGCCAGGCCAGGCCAGGGCAGCAGGCAATAGCTTCAGCTTGGAGCCCATGCCTGCAGCCTCCAAGCCCCCCTGGCCACCTGCCTAGGAGCAGGAGCGTGGCTCTGCTGCAGAGATGCCCTCCCAGAGCCAGAGCAAAGCCTGCAGCTGGAGGAGCAGACGGTGCAGCAGGGAGCCCTGTCAGCAGGCAGGGATTTACAGGATTTACAGCCAGGCTGGGAGAGCTGCACCCCCAGCTCCCAACACAGGCCAGGAACCCCACCCTTTCCTCCCTGTCTGATGCCTCCCAGACCCATGCCCAGCCATGGCGAGCAGGACCCTGGTGCTGGCATGGGGCCTCAGCTGCCTGCCCCCTCCGGGAGAGCTGTCTGAGTCACTCTACCCGACACCCACACTCCCCGCCTGGGGCACAGGCGGAGCTGGCAGCTGTCAGGGAGCCAGACCAGGAGCACCCGAGACAGGGGCTGGTCTCCAGTGCCCCTGCAGCACAGGCTCCACCCTGCCCCTGGCCCATTAGTTCGGCCCACCCTAGATCTCAGTGACAGCAACGCCAAGCCCTGGTGACTCATTCGTGGGTCACGGAGCCCAGGAAGACCCTCCAAACAAGTGGCTGAAGCCACTGCTCCCAGCGAGGCCACAGCAGGGGAGAGAAGGGTCCACTGAGTCGATGCCAGCTCTGGTCCTGGTGCCTGACAAAAAAACCCAAACCCAATGCTGCTCCTGCTGAGTGCATGACCCACTCCGAGCGACCGCAAGCTGCCAGGGGGTCCTTGCCCGAAACCACGGGCTGGGATGCAGCCAGCAGCACAGGGCACGGGAGATGCAGCCCACAGGGTATTTGTAGCCCCACAGGTTGCACCCAGCGCGACGTGCTAAGAACAGTGACTTGCCTGGGACCGAGGGAAGGGCAAGGGGCAGCGTCCCTATGTAACACCCCTGTGAAGTCCCCCTCCAGCATTAACCAGGCACTGAACAGCTTGGGGGGCCCCCCGAGGTCACACCAAAGGCAGGGATGGAGCCCCCGAGGGTCCAGCCATCCCCAGCTCCTAACCTGCAAGCCCCTGGCAGCCTTGCCAAGGAGACAACCCCCCTTCCCAACACACCCTGGTCACTGTGCTACAGCTTCTCAAGGACCCTGGGGCAAGTGCAGGACTAGCACTCAGCCCCTGCAGCTCCAGAGGCAGAGCTGAAGGAGGATCTCCCTCTATGACCTATAGGCAGAGCACACACACGTACAAGCCATTCACCCTGCTGGCATGCCCGACTGCCCCACCAACACCTGCCCTTCCCTGTCCCCTGCCAGCCCGTCCCTGCAGGAGACGCAGCGAGAGCCCTGGGGACTTGCCAGCATGCAGGTCCCTGGCATCTGCCTCACCTGTCACGTCCTACTGCCGGTGCCCGTGCTTTGGGCTCGTCATCGGCTCCTGCGGCTGCCGGCTCCCTGGCTGGCCACGCTGGTGCTGCCGTGCTCCCAAGCTGGGGATGTGGGTCTGACGGTCACTGCACAGCAAAGGTTATACTCCAAAAGAGCCAGGCTAGTGGAGATGCTGCTGGGCTCACTGCATGTTGCGGTGGGTTGCTGCACTGGTACACTGCCAGGATCACTGCCATACACAACTCACTGCAAGCTGGGGTGGTTGGTTAACTGGGACACTGCTGGCTCACTGCAAGCTGGGTGGTTGGTTCACTGGGACATTGCTGGCTCACTGCACGTTGGGATGGTCGGTTAACAGGTACACTGCCAGCACACTACACGTTGGGATGGTTGGTTCACTAGTACACAGCCAGCACGCTGCATGTTGGGATGGTAGGTTAACAGGTATGCTGCCAGCACATTGCACACTAGGATGGTTGGTTAACTGGTACGCTGCTGGCACACTGCACGCTGCTGTGGCTATACGTTGACACTGCCAAGCTCACTGCATGCTAACGTAGTTGCTGAATGGGTACACGGCCAGGCTCACTGCACGCTGGGATGGTTGCTGAAGAGCGACACTGCCAAGCTCACTGCATGCTGCTACGGTTGCTACATCAGTTCACTGCATGCTGCAGCAGCTGTCCAGCAGCTGTGCCAAGCTCCTGGGCATGCTGCAGTGCTTCCACTGCATCAGTGCAGTGCCAGGCTCGCCATAGGCTGACAAAGCTGTTCCAGGAGGACCAGGCTGGAAGAGACACTGCTGCTCCCAGACTCACTGCACGCTGCCGGGCTCCCAGCCACCCGATGGGAGCAGCTCCACGCCAAGCGGTGGCACAGCCGGGCTCGCCCTCCTCCTGCCGACGGTGCCAGGAGCCGAGGGTCACCGGACGATGAAGTGGCACCGCGATGCCACGCTCCTGGGCGGGGACAGAGACGACGCTGCACTGCCGGGGCCGCAGGCGCCCTACACCCGCGCCACTCTGCGCCGGCCCTGCCTGCGTCGGAGCCGGGGCCGGGGCCGGGATGGCGGCAGGCTCGGGGTGCCCTGCTCCTCTT